AAAGATAAAGATTTATAATTAAATCTGCTTAATTTCTATTAATTTCTAGATTTATAATCTAAGTCTGCTAAATTCTTCTTATCTTCTAGATTTATAATCTAGACTAGTACTAATTATATTAGTCTATACGTTATATTGCATAGACTAATAATTAGTTTATTACTAGATCTTTCGGTAATTGTAGAAAGAGAGATAAGAAGATAAGAGTTATTAAATTACGTAATAACTCTAATATTAACTAGGCTAAGACAAATAGAGGTGTTTTAGAATCTTCTAGTGTAGCAGATTAAAACTAGCTACTAAAATTTTAATTACGTAAGCAATTAGATTTACTAGAAATTTTTCTAATTTGTTAAGAAATTACAATAAGTGTAATCTTAACAAAGCTTAATAATAATAAAAAGATAATAATAACTAAGTTATTATAATCTTTACAAATTTTATATTTCTAAAAAAATATATCTATAAAGTAGTGTAAGGCACTTCTAATAGACACTACTAGAATAAATAGCTTTAGATATTATTCTATCTACTAGTTAGATCTAGTTAAAAGTATAAATTATATATAATAATTCTAAAAGTTAGACTAGAAAAATAAGACTATACTTAAGATTTTTCTAGAAAAAGTAGTATTATAGTTAGCTATACTATTTAATTATTTAATTCTTATAGCTCTTTCTATCTTAGGTTCTATTATAGTAAAAACTTTATAAAAAGTAAAATATTTAAAAAGAAAAACTTTATTCTTCTACCTTAATTTTATAAATACTAGATACTATAACCTCTTTTAATATACGCTAATCTACTTTTCTTTCTAAAGATATACTAAGTTATTTCTTAGCGCTAAGTAAGATATAGCTTTTATAATTTTACTAGATAAGTATCTAAGTATAGCCTACTTAGTTTAGTTACTAGAAGGTATAGTCTACTTAGACTAGTAACTAGAGTTAGTAAACTAATAGTATATTAGAAACTTAAGATAATTTATATAGAACTTATTACTATAGCGTTCTAGAGAAGCTCTACTCTATCTATAATAGTTTCTCTAATATCTAGCTTTATATTTTTAAATTTATTAGTATAAGAAATAATAAATATAGTAGAACTTATATAATAATCTTATATAGAATCTTAGAGTTAAACTATATATCTAGCGTATCTTAGAATAAACTAATATTATTAAGGTATACTACGTACTTATACTTATTATAGATATTAGTTATAATATTACTATCTTATAGAGTATTATTAGCTTTATAGATAATAGATAGCTTACTAAATATAAAAATAACCTAGAATATATATAGTTAGTAAAGTATATAAATATAGTAAAGAGAGAAAAAAAAAAAATAAAAATATATATAGTAATAAGAAAGATAATAAGATAGCTATTATTAAGTAGCTTAAAGTAGATAAAGTAGCTACTAGAGTTATTATACTACTAGACTCTAATATAGCTATAAGATATAATATCTATAAAGAAGTTAGTACGTAAAGCTTAGAGTAGAAAAAGTTTTATAGATAGTATATAGCTAATAAGTAGCTTTATAAAAAAGAGTAAAAAAGTATTAGTATAAAGATTTAAACTCTTACTCTTTAATAGTACTTAGTAATACTAGATAGAGATACTAAATAGTTAAAGTATTTCTTCTAAGTAAAATAATCTATAATTAATAACTATATATACTATAATAATAATAGCTTCTATATATAGACGTACTAAAAAAGAGAAATAGATCTACTAGAATAGTAGCTATAAATAGAAGTAAGTCTTATTTTATATAAGTAAGTTTTATAGACCTAGAAGTACTATATAGTAGAAAGCTTTTTATAATATAAGTAAGTCTAGTAGATCTATAAAGTTAATAATAATATATAAATCTAGTAGTAAGCACTTCTAGATCTTCTAGACCTAGAACTACTTTTCTAAAAAAATCTATTTAGATTTATTTTAAATAGAGTTAAATATAGAAATCTATATATAAACCTTTTAACCTAAATAGACTCTATTTAGATTTCTAACTATAGTAAAACTTTTAATAAATCTATAAGTTTCTTAGTAAGTAGTATTACTATTTCTAAAAATAGAAAAGCTAATTTCTTTTAGTTATTATTTATTATATATAAAAATAATATAGCTTACTTACTACTATATTATATTATACTAAAGAGACTTACTTTAAAGCTTATTATATCTAAATAGTATATATAAAAGTATTATAAAGTAAAGTAATTTTAATATTAAATAATAAAGTTAGTTAAATACTATATATATAATATTAAACTATAATTAGGTATATTACTCTAAAAACACTAGAGATAAATTACTACTAAGCTATAATAGTAATTCTAAGGTATTTATGCCTAAGGCTAAGTTAGCCTAGGCTCTTATAGGCTAGAACCTAACATTTACGCGCTTCTTTTTCTTCTCTTATTCTCTTCTTCGCGGTCTAGCTAAAATTTACGTCGCAGACAGCTATATATCTTCGCTTTTAATCTGCTCTAGCTACCGTGGTCGCGACCTTCATTGCCGCGCTTGCGATAGCCAAGCCGCCGCTTGCGCGAATAGTCGCATGCGTCGAAAGCAACCCGCAGAACGGGCATCCCGCTGCTTGGCGAAGCGACACGTCGTGGGTGTGAGCGAACTGCTTCTGCGCGCGGACAGTCGCACGCTTGGAGATGGTTGTAAAGACTCGTCGTGACCGTGCACTCGTCATCCGTCTTCCATTTCGATCATTTGGACCGTCGCATAGAGATGCGGTGCTTGCGCACTTTTGTTCTCGTGAATCCATGCAACCGTTGTAGCCCAAAGGTTCTCCAACTCGTCGAGGTCAAGGCTGAGATCCTGGGCTGCGTCGTCCGACATCTCCTTGTTTGCCTTAAGCCAGAGAATCATTCTGCTTCGGTCCACCTCGCCACCACGGCCGCGCCGCTTGGCCCACCGGAGGAAGACTTGGAAGAAAGTCTCTCCAGATTCCTCTGGGTTGAACGAGATACTGATTGGCGTCGTGCCCCAGAGGCCTTTCAGTTGGAGCTGTCCGCCTGTAGCCGCGGGACCTGCAGCGGGCAACGTTGCGTGACTTGGTTGTCCGTCGTTCACGGGTGCCGACTGTGCGGCTTGAGCGGGTGGTTCGGATGCGCGCATGAGTTGGGCTTCCCGCATGGCGCTCACGCGATCGTAGGTGCGTTGAACCTCAGGCGGACGTTGCAGAGAGGATTGAGCGTACATGGGCGCAGTCGGTGCGCGTAGGGGGACCGATTGGTCTATCTCTTCCGCTGATACGAAGCCTGGTGGAAAATAAGTCTGAGGTGAATGCGCTTCGTGGACATCTGCTTCCACGGCAGACAGATCAGTCCGAATATACGCACAGTCATCGCAACGTGTAGGACTGACCTGTGGTGTGTTGTCGCTCCATAGATTCATCGGATCCCAGAACCACATCGCTGTTCAGCAGCCCTTCTGGTACGATGTAAAATGCATTTTTACTTGTTCGGTATGCACCACGACGATGCCATGTCAGGTACACAACAGTCTGGACACTCACTCTCCTCTTCGCACCTGACGGGAGGTGTACCAGTATCGACTCGTCCACGTCAACCGGATCGACATTGAGTCCACGACTATCTGCCACTTCCTTATCAATCAAGTTGTATCTCCCCGGTGCATTCCTCGCTATGACTGTCTGGTCCGGGATTTCGTCGTCGCATGAGAGGAATGTTATCTTTTCCATGCCCGCGGCGGTGAGACCCGAGCCGTGGGACTTGACGGATCCCGCGCTGGTGGGAGGGGTCTGTACACTGTACCTGGCACTCTGAACATCATATCGTGGGGGGCCTTGTGGCGCAGAGGGATTCCGGCGATGTGCGCGTGGCGGCGAGGCTTCGTGTCGGTGTTCCAACGCGGTCTCGGGACTTCGTCGAGCCGGGTTCTCCCATATATACCGCTCAGTCGTTGCCCGGATCTCTTTATCTTGGAGGTAGTCCATGAGGAGCTCGATGGTTTTCTTAGGATGGTCTTTGACCAGCTCCTCCGCTAAGGACAATCGGGTAACCATCGCGCGCGATTCGAGGCGATTCTGTCGCAACTACAGCCTTGTATGCGCGCGCAACTTCAAGATGCGCCTCACAGCGCTGGGGTCGGCGCCTGACCAATGCAAAGCTCTATTTTGAAACCATGATGCGCGAAAAGCTCGCGACGCTGACTGTGTGGTATAAGCGGAGTTTCGTGTACACGCGATGGGGTATGTACATAGAACTGTTGGCATGGGCGCTGCTGCACGAAAGATGAAGTGGGGCAGATCTCCAGCTTGCGCATCATCATCAGGGCGACCGGAACCGGCAGGGGTGTCGCTCGTCCCTGCGAGACGCTACGCCATTCTCAATTGACCGGTAGCGAAGCGGCAAATCATCTGAACGGCGAGACCACCCACACGTGACAGCGTATCCCCGCGATTACGCGCATGCGTGTTGGGCGACCTGTAAGAGCACTTGAACTCACCCATCCCGCGTTCGACGTGGACTTGAGCCGAATGCGCCGCCAGGACTCGCAAACCCAGTTGCCCTCAGCTGAGCCCGTCCTTTTACTCTTTTGCTCTCCACTCCGCACTCCCACTCCGAACCATGAGCAGCTTTTACAGAAGCGATGTCAGTCGCTCCATTCGCGACTCCAAAGGTGAAACTGGGTCATCGATATCGGTGCTCGGACATCATGCAGGCGCAAAGCGGGTGACGCAGCAATCGGCTGCCATCGGGAACAAGGCCTACGACAATACGTTCCAGATTAACGGACATGTCGCGGATAAGGTTAGCAGCTGTACCATGTCAGTGCCTCCCATGTTACATTCGTCGAAGGTGCTAATGAGGTGCCAGAAAGAACGCTTTCTTCATATGCCATTGCGATGTCGCAAAGGTTGTGGCAAGCATAGCGTCAGGTGATCCATTTCTCGCTTCAGTACGGGCACAGTCTCGTTTGTCGGGCGCGGCGGGACGACTCAACCATGTGAACATCGTGAGCACTAAATCTGCCGCGTGTATGCCATCGCTCACCATGCGCAAGGTTGATCAATTAGAGATCGCGTCGTTGCGAAAGGCGAAACGGAAAGTCACAATCGTCTCCAAAGAGACTGGGATGCCAGACGCCATCTACGCCATCTTTCCCAAGACAGTACAAGACAGCTTCGTCTCGTCCAATGTCATCGATCGTTTGGGTCTTACGACACGTGTCGACAATACGACAGTAAGCTCACTCAATTGGGCTTCGAAGCGACATACTTCCACTGGCGGTTTCGTAGATCTCTCTTTCCCGTTGCCTGGCAGCGACGAAAGCGTCGCGCAACGCCTCCTAGTTCTCCAAGACCCTCCTTTTGACATGCTCATCGGTTGTTCAGCGTTGGTCCCGTCTTCTACACGCAAGCAGAAGCCCTTGCTAAGATAGCATGAGAATGGAGAGCAAGAGCGAGAAGCGGAGGAAGTGCGCGACAAGGCAATAGCCCAATCACCTTGTTTCCTATGCCCCAAGAATACTACCTACAAGTTCCGCAACAGCAATCATCTTCTCTTCTTGCAATCTCCGTCCAACAAGCTGCACACTGACATGCGCACCGTCGTAGATCTCAGGGTCATCTGCACTCGTGTTAGCACTTCAGTCTCTTCTCAATCCGATATCCCTCCGCGCTCCACGCGAGGCAACAGCAACCTAGCAAATTCGGAAATCTTCGCGCGCACTTACAGTCATCCTGGATACTCTTGTCCTGCTCACCAAGCGCCGTATACCCCTCCTCCCTCCCATCAACCCCCTTATCCACCTGCATAACCGGCAGCACAACACTCGTATAATCCAGCGCATTAACCCAAGTCGAATACCCATAGTACTTGAACCTCTCCCTCCTCGCCGCCGGGAAAGGCGCAAGCGGACAGATAACCGCGTCGACAGGCCTCCCCGTACTAGTCTTCTCAACCGTACTATTCCAGTATTCCATATACTCCTTCTTCAGCGCCCTCAACTCCACATTCGTAGCCGCGATGTCCGTAGCCGTGAATTCCTTCTCGACGCCTTGGTAAAAGGTAACCTGCGGCGCCATGGGTTCGCCGGAGAGCGCAAACGCGGATTTAACGTCTTTACCCGCGTCGTAGATCCAGGGGCGGAAGCCGACGTCGTTGATGGTGCGGTGGGAGGGGGGTTGCCAGTCTATGATTTCATGACCAGCAGCGCGCAGCGCCTCAACAACAGTTTGAATAGCGCGGCGGACGGGGGGCGTGGGATTCACAACACCATCCGTCATCAACAAACCAAAGGAGAGTTTCTCTGCGGACTTCACTTCGGCTTCTTGGTCCGGGCGCCATGGGATTTCGTGGACGAGCGGGTCGTTGAGCCATGGATCTTGCTGGAGAAGAGCCTGGGTTACGAGGCGCAGGGAGGCTGCGTTTGTGGCGAGGGGCCCGACGACGGAGAGGACGGTGTTTTGGCCGTCCATGGAGTTTGCCATGCCTTCGTATGGGAGGCGGCCTGTAGAAGGACGAATGCCGTAGAGACCGTTGAAGGCGGCGGGGATGCGGATCGAGCCGCCGATGTCGGTGCCGAATCCTAAGGGCGCTGTGCGATGTCAGCGACCCACGGTCTCTTCATCTCGAATGCGAACGCTCATAGCGATTGCCATATCTCGGACGGTAGTTCACTTACATCCTCTCATACCGATCAACGCGCCCTCGCCACCGGAGCTACCACCAGCCGTAAGATTCCTATTCTTCGGGTTAAGTGTAAATCCCACGATGTTATTGATGGTCTCCCCGCTCATCAGCGTATGCGGCACACTGGTCTTGCAGTACAACACAGCTCCCGCCTTACGCAACATCTTCACCATCTCACTCTCGAACACCTTCTCTTTGCCAGTACCCTTCTTGCCTTCGAAGGTGCCAATCCAGCCGACGTAGCCCATACTGGTCTCGACATCCTTGATATGGAACTGGTCTTTGAGTGAGATGGGTACGCCATGGAGGGGACCGGTGGTCTTTTTGTGTTTTGCGTAGTATGCGTCGAGCTCTTTTGCATCACGGATGGCGGCATCGAAGAAGATCTCGTGGAGACATGATAGCTATCCGTTCAGCATCATCCACTGCAGGTATTAGGTTTGCGACGTACCAATTGATGCGCAACTGCAGCCCGGTGGCAGAATGCCCTCGTGACCTCTTCAGCAGTCCACTTCCCCTCAGCCACGGTCTTTGCGATCACATCGGCACTGCTTTCAGTAATGTCGAGCTCTTGCTTGCTGAAGTACTGCTTCACATAGTTTGTGACATCGACCTGTTCTTCTACTGATGGCAACTTCTCCAGTCGCCATTCCGAGGGTATGGCAGCTAAGATAGCTTCGCGCTTCTTACTAGCGGTTTCTTCCCAAGATGATGTCGTCATGCTGTCGGTTTGAGCTGATTGTAGAGGAGACAAAGGCAGTCACCCGCAAGTTTTTAGTGTTTGAGGGGAGGTATCGCAGCAAGTTGGGCACGAGAGCGGTCCCGGAGTTAAGATATGGGGCCGCGGAAATGACGTTGAGGGTTGACGCCGTTGATAGCTTCGAAGCTACCCAACGGCCAAGTGGGGTAGCTATCGAGCATTTGTTCTAAGCACCTTCTACATTAGCGTAGCTTCACATATCATGACATGTCTCGGTAGGTTGATGCAGGGTATTGTCCTGCCGATGCGCACACCGCAGAAGGTGAACGTGAGGGGCAGCCTGAGGCGGGGGTTGGAGCGATCGTTGGTCATAGATACGATGTTCAGCCGACCAGCTCCACCTCGGCAATCGGGGTAACTCCAAATAGTTCTCGTCCATACTCCACGCATGACAACGGATCTTGGTGTACCTCGTGATTCAACGACTTTCTTCGCTACGTAGGTATCTGGGATAAAGGCAACAAGGAGAGCTGATAACGAACTCAAAGAAGAACGCCAGGCCATGCGAAAGCAAGCAAGGTGCTAAATGCCGACCGCTCGAAAAGGAGGTGAAGAATGTCGCTAGACTAGAAATGAAACGAGGTGTGACAGTCTACGTGGTCGGGTTGTGGTATCTCAGGAACGACTTTATACGGTCTCGACGTAGTTGCTGCGGCAGTCAGCGAAGTATTTATGATGGCATGGCCTGTGCGACTTACCTTGGGAAGATGCCCTCTCGGCTTCCGACTCTGCCTGTCCACCAGTCGGTCTCGTTGTCCGTCCTCTTCAGGATTGTGATGATCTCGCCCTTCTTAAAGCCGAGATCGCCCGGCTGATCTGCGTCAAAGGTGAATTTGGCAATTGCCTGGTCGGATTGCAGTCCTGCCTTCTTCTGCCCGGTTGTCTGTCCGAATACTGGTTTTGGCGCCGTTGGTCGGCCAGGCTTGCGGTCGCTGTACGAGTAGTCGTCGCCGAACGTGGAGGAGCGGCTTCGGTTGTCCATGCGGTCGAAGGTCTCGGTGGGGTTCGCACGCGTGGAGAAGGAGCGGTTGAGGCCGCCGGGTGCCGAGGACGGCTGTCGGTCGTATACGTCGTCCGCCCATGTAGATGAGTGCTGCGGTCGGTCTCGGTACTCGTAATCATTGGGTGCCTGGCCCATGGAGCCGGTGCGGTCACGGCGCACGCCTTCGCCCATAGCCGAGCCCTCGCGGCCCTGCCATACCACATTGTCGCGTGAGTTGTCGTAGACGGGGATGTCGTTGTACATGGCGTCGTTGGTAACGTTCTGCGCGCCTCCTACTCCGGCAAAGACTCTCGAGTTGAGCACCTGCAGGAGCGGCGCGGCGGCTGGTGGTGGGGGAACCTGTCCGCTGAGGATCTCGCGGGCAGTCCATCGGCGGCCGTACAACTTCTCGTTGGCATCTCTTCGCTCGATGATGCCGCTGCCCTCCAGACTGACGCCGGCAAACAGTCCCTTTGTCTTGCTGTAGCTGAAAATACCAGCCACGCCCTTGAGACTCGCCGCGCCGGCAGCCTCGGCATTGCGACCGACAGGCCCCGCCGCAATGGAGACATTGCCGCCCAATGTCAGCGAGCCGGCCTGCGCAAATGTACGGACGGCGGATGCGT